TGATTATAATTTTTTTTATTTCATTTATAATTTTATCATCATTATATCAAGTTTTATCTAAAAAGTACTAAATCATAATTCATATCAGGTTTAGCATCTGATAGTTCTAAAGAGTATTTTTAACAGCTTCCTAAGAATGTCTAGTATGTTTATTTAATTTTGATATTGTAATTCTATTTAATTGAAAAATATATAAAGCATTGCAATATGATGTAAAAAGATACAATTTAAAAATAATTATGTTTTATTTTTATCACATATTAGATCTTTAACCAATAAAATTTTAATTTTAATTTGGTAATAATCAGCACAAATTTCAGTGATAGCTTAGCCATTTGACTAAGCCGTTTGTACTATATTAAAATAATTTTTGGTTTTTTTTATAATAATTATAAAGTTTAATTCTTGAAAAAAATTAGAGAATTATCAAAAATAAAATGTAATTACTGTATCAAAATTTAAATGTTTAGATAATAAAGAAAAAGGTATAATGTTTATATATGATTATGCTTTTCATCACAAATGTTTTTCAGAACAAAATAATAACTATGTTGTCTTTAATGTAAATCCTATATAAGAAATTAGAAATAGATGATCATTTTAATAATAGATTATTATTAGATAATGAAAATAAAGAAGCAAGCAGCAATAGTTGAAAAAAATATTTTAAAAATACTTTAAACTTGGTAAATTATAAGTTATTAAATAAAAAATATTTTTAAAATACCTATCTTAAGACTTAAACTTTCGGCTCTCATCTAACTTTCTTTAGAGCAGAGATCTCAAGATCTTTTTTTAGCCGACATAACGATGCAAAAAAAACTGCGCATCAATACATTTAGTTTTTAAGTGCTGTATCATGCTTACATGATGAAGGAATTGTGCATCGTGATTTGGTAAATAATTTTATGTTGCTTTTATTAAAAATATTGTTAAAAATTAACAATTTTTATTTAATAAATAGCACTCCAACAATATATTAGTTCACCGGAATTGTATAAAACTGGCGGATTTTGGGTTATCAAAAAGAATTGGAGCAGCAACTGAATTATCAAATGATTTTGGTATAATTCCCTATAATGACCCAAAAAGGTTTAACTAGTTACAATATAAGCTAAACGAAAAGAGTGATGTCTACGGTGTTGGTGTGCTTTTATGGGAGATATCAAGTGGACATGCTCCTTTTTATATTGAGGAATATGATTTCGACCTAATGAATAGTATTTCGAAAGGTCTCAGAGAAGAAATTATTCCTGATACTCCCGAAGATTATGTAAAAATTTATACTGGTAAATATATTTATTAAATTCAATTACAATTAGAAAAATATCTTTTTGACCATTCAATTAATTTTTAGAGTGTTGGGATAATGAACCAGATAATCGTCCAGGTATGAGTAAAGTAGTTGAAGCGGTTGGTAAGTTAAAAGCTATTACTACAAAAATTAACCTTGTGGCAAATGAGCAAACTGAAGATTATAATTTAAATGTCCAATTATCGAAACAACAACTTGATAATAAAAATTCTTCATCACATGGTGAATTATCTCAACTTATACAAAACTTTGATAAGATGAACAAATGAAATTCGATATTATATATAGTCTAAATAGTTTGTCCATTTTTATAGAAAATATAAATGGGTAATTAGCAAAACTTTGATCTAAAAGTAAAACGGAAGGTGTGGAGGAATCACAGAACTTTAATTGATTTCAATTTAATATTCCTTACGTAATTTACGCTGTCGCACTTTTATATTACTTTAATATATGTAATATTTTTTAGGTGGTTTATTTTATGATAAAACCTTCTTTTAATTTTCTTATAGATAGATAAATAAGATTACAAAGTAATGATATGGCTCATTTTGCAAGTATCATTCAAAGGTGCAAGCTATTGTAATTGCAAATAATTTTATTACAATAAATATGGCGTATTGTTTGACGACGAAATGCATTATTAAAATCAATCATATTGCTTGTGAAGGGTTTTTAAACTGCGCCATTCGACATATAAAAAAATTATTGCCTTCTCAACCTCCAGATATTAACCTATGTTATTTTTTTGTTATTGTAACATCATGATATTAATAATTAATCATTGAAAGAATAATCGATTTTGTTTTCGGTGCAAATGTATGCGGGTCCTGCAGCGAACTTGATCTGAACATATGGACATGATTTACCTAATTCTCATAATGTAATACAGATAGTTCTTGAGCTAATGCATGTAGATCAAGTTGTTTGTCGCGCATCCAATGTAGATGAGATTACCCCTTTGAGTTCGATATACATTATGGAAGTTGAAGGTTACCTTTTTTTGGTTTATTATTTTGATTTGATTTGATGAGAACATTTTCATTGACGAATTGTAGTAGCCGCTGTGTTACGGAACAATATAATATCATTACTTATAGTAGAGGTTTAGAAATGGTCTTAGAGGTGAAAGTAATAAGTTCCATTATATTTAACCTAAATGAAATTAACCGAAAAGAGTTAAATCAACAATTATTAAATTAAAAAATTATCTTTGTGCACAAAAAAACTTTCAAAGTGTTCTTGTAGAATATCTTTTTTTAAAAGCGAATAAATTTCGTGGCTTTTTTTTTTTTTTTAACTATCTTAGCTTTCTTTACTAGATTTTGGAGGTTTTTAACTTGTCGCGATTGTCTCCGCAAAGCAACGATTTTGATCCCAAAAGTTTATAAAACTAACACTGAAAAGATTATTTTCAACTATATAGTATCACACTATTCTCAAGACTACGATGTATTTTGTGGTAAATTGTCAGGAAAAAAAAAAGGTACTTTCCATTTTGGAATTCAAATATACAATTTTATTTTTTTATTTTTTAAATTAGGTTATGCTGGTATAGCTTTTACATACTTCCATTTACTCCAATTTGATTATTACAGACAACAAAGTAGACCTTTTGAGATAAGACATATCTTTCAGTCGCATTATCTGCAATGAAGAAAACTAAGGAAAAACATGTCAGTTTTGGGAAGTCAATATTATTTTTTTGTGTGTATAATTTTACAAGGTAATAATTAATGTAATCACCTTTTAAAAGCGCATTTCAGTTTTTTTAATTAATATTTCATGCTATTTAAAAATGTTAAATCAGAAAGCCCATAATTAACGCATGTTTAATTCAAATTTTACATTTTTTTTAAAGGGAGGAAAATATCAAAATGAGACATATTACGTTTTAAAAATATTAAGCTATTAACCATGCCTGGATTTAATCGGTTTCTCTTTGCTGTTACATGATTTCCTGCATCAGAGCACTGGGTACTGATGATGCAGGAATTACTAAATACTTTCTAGCAAGTTTTGCGAGTGTAGGAGATGATACTTTATTTGAATTCTACTATTTTAAAGGATCATTTTCTTGAATCATTTTGTATCATAGTAGAATTCGAAGTCGGAAAAGAATTAGATTCTGAAAATTGAATATATTGAATTCAAAGATCATTAATAACTTGATATCGTAATTCCTATAAACAATTATTTTAGTACAAATCAAACAAAACGAGGTCAAAGAAAAATCCATATATCCAAGATTTAAAGGAATTATTTATAATAGTATTTTTCAATTGATTAATTGTAAGATTTTTAGATTCATAAGCATCTAAGTTCTTTAATTATACTTAATATTAAATATTTTAATTTACCCAGAATTTCAGTTAATTCATCAAATAGCTTTAAAATTATAACAATCTCTTTACATATATCAAATTCTTCTTCTGAAAGTTGATAATCTATTAATTTTTCACCTTCTTTTCGAACCTTACTTATAGTATTATTTAAAAAAGAACTACAAGGTTTGCAAGTAATATTAATCGTTGAATTGCATAAAATGTTACATTTCAACATCTTTTATAATATTTAAGAGTTCTTTGTTAAGTTACCTTTGCATTCCTTTCATTTTTTATCACTACTAAGAAATTAATTAATTTTTTCACTTTAAGTTATAATATTACTAATATGTATGAACATTATAAGAAATATTATTTGCTTCTAATTTATTTTAAAATTTCTCCCATTATGTGTAATAATTCCAATAATATTTTTCTTTATTTATATTAAATTTTGCTAATTCTATGTTGTCCCAGAAAATTAATCATATTTAACATAACTTTATATTCAAATTCAGATGTCAAAGTAATTAATACTGAATGTTATGACGTAAATTAAGATGGCCTGTCCTTATGACATCAATAGATATATGGGTTGTTTTGATTCTCAGAATATTTAGTTTTTGATGTTATTATTGATCATCATAAAGTGGCTAGAATAGGATAACTTGTTAGAAAAAAGGATCAAAAAAAAATGTTTTTGAGGTTAACCGTTTTTCCGGAAAATCGGGAAAATCATTTCCATAAAATATTATCGTTATCGTTCATTTGTAACTTAACTGTTCAACTTAATCTTCCCATATGACGTTGTAAAAAAAAGAAATACAATAAAGAAAAAGAATATCAATTAAATATTACAACTTTTCACGTACGTTCGCGTCCGAAAGTGATGCCCGATTTAAAATTAATGTCAAAAATGGCAAAACTTTATTGACTTTCATTAAAATTCACATAAAAAATAATTATAAAAATGGTTAATAATGTGTAGGCCCTCCCCTTGCTTCTAGTACTGCATTATTCTTTGTGGCATTGAAGTAACAACCTCTTCAAAAATGGAGCAATCTAAATTTTCCCATTCTTCGCTTAGTGTAACTTTAAGTTCACCCACAGTTCTTGGAAAGACCTTACAACTCTGGATATTGTCTTTTAACTGCTTCCAGATGTTTTCTATTGGATTTAGGTTGGGAGAATTTGCCAGCCAATAAATAACCACAATTTTATTCTTCTTCAACCAATCCTTGGTTATTTTCGCGGTATGAATAGGTGCATTATCCTGTTGAAAAATTGCAGCCCTCCCTGTTAACTCATGAACTGTATGTTGAAATGGATATAGATATGAATTTAGGATTCTAATTTAGGTGTCAAGCAATCAGTGTTAAACCTTTCCCCTGTTGTCTCCAAACTCTTATTTGTCGTGACTGCTTGCCAATCTCAACACTTGATTCATCTGAGAAAATAACTTGTGCCCAATCATAAGCTGTTTTTTCTTTATATTTCTCACACCAACTAATACGAGCTAATGCATGCTTTTCTGATATAAAAGGTTTTTTGCAGAAACATGAGAATAAATTCCAACATCATGTAATGCTCTTTTAGCAGTTGTAAGGCTGCAATTTAAACCTAGTGTATTAATAACTTCATGTAAAGGTTCGCGTCGATCTTGTGTAACTTCGTTTATGAGTGCATTTGTCTCATTATCATCGAGAGCAGGTGGACGCCCTGATCTAGGTAAATTTTCAGTTTTCCCTGTCTTCTTGTATCTGTCAATAATTCTTCTTATTGTGGTGGGGTCACGACCCATTTTTCTTGCTATTTGCGCAGGGTTAAAATTCTCCATATATGCAAGTATTTTCCCCTTATCTAACTCAGTTCTATGTGACATTATTTTTTTTAACTTTATAATGCGTTTATTAGGTTATGAAATATGAGAAAAACATTTAAAAATAAAAAAAAGGAGGTATAAATAATGTAAATTTGGTGTATCGTAACACCGTACAAAACCGGGCGTCACTTTCGGACGCGACTGTACTCCACCACCGAATTCCACGAAAATGGCCACCGTGCACTTCGTACTTCCACGGCTTTAAAGCCAGATTTGTGCACTGAAATTTCGATTAAAACAATACGGTCAACTGTAAAGAAATAAACTGCATTTAGTAGCATGATAGATAAATCTTTATACCTCCAGAAATTATAATAAAATAGAATAAACATTAATACCTCGATTTCGCCTGTGATGAAGTCGTTTCTTCGTAATTGATTGTCAATTGGAGACTGCCTAGGAAATTGAAGAGAAGGAGAGGATGGTAATTCATTTGATTTGTTTGATTTCAATCTTGCCTTGAAAATATAAGAAAAACATTAATTTATGCCATATAAATTCGGAGATTCAACGATATCATTATTTTTACTGTTTTATGTCCCATTGTAATAAACTCAAGTTCATCATCCTCCTCTGATTCATCACTAAAAATACAAACAAAAGAATTTAATGTCAAACTTGCAAATTATAAAAAGTAACACAAAGTAAACCTACGAAGGAATATATTCGGATGAGGAATCCAACGAAGTTGTCGTCGTTGCAGATGGGACCTCATCCAAATTGACGCTTTTGGTCTGTAAGAGCACTGAGAAGTGAAAAAACGTTTTTTAGTGAGCAATACATTTAAAAGATAATGGATACCTTATCTTCCGGAGTAGAACAGCGTCGACGACGTTCGTATGAAGTATCTTCGTTTCTAATGGCTTGATCCAGAGAATTTGTATCTTCTGGGTGCCCTTTTACAATCTGATCCTGTTGGAAAACCGAGGATAATTTATACCAATCTTCACATTTTGAACTTCTAGCTAAAAAATTTTCGCTGTTATCAAGGACCTACCGAAAAAAGAAATTGAGCATCGGTTTCCTTTTCCTCAACTGATGGGCGGAGATTTGGAGGAGAAGTTATGGTATGAGAAATTTCCTCTGCAGGCCGTTTTCTTTCATTCTTGGAAATTCGCATCTGTGAGTAATGTAGTGAATAAAATTTTTCAATGGGCATTTATAGGAGAAGAAATAAGAGGAACAAAAAAAGCTCAAATTTATCAACCTTATGTTCGTCATTTACTTTTAATTCGTCAATAAGTGTTTGATTCGCGTTGTAGCCCTAATAGAATTGTTAGTTAGGCTATTGTGAAATTTGTCCCAAGATCGTTTCAAAGCTACCTTCAAAGCTTTAACTGTGCAGGAAGATGTGACATTGATCTGGAAAGCTGAATTAAATCTACGTTCTTCCTGTTCCTCTCGAAGTTTGTCGATAAATTCTTTCGTCTCGGCTGTAGAGAATAATTTCTCGAAATCAGTTATAATCTTGTCCAATTTATACATGATTGTCATTTTTTTTGTAACTCTGTAACGATGCATATATATCACTCTTAAGATTATTGATGGAATCTGAATATTTTGATTTGTATTCCAAAATAGAAATGATTGACCAAAGTTTGTATTTTGTTTCGCTGAGATACTTTGTTACGATAGGTTTAAACATTCTAGGAAAGAATAAAATTAAATTATATTAACTATATTGATTATTATAATTAACGAATCGCATCATCTAACTTCCTTTAAACTCCCTCAAGTAAATAATTAATTTGACAAAAAAATCATGCTAACTTAGCACACCATACACATGACGAATTATACGTTTTATAATAACAGATAACAACGATTAATAATTTTCCTTCGACTCAAACAATTTGAACTTTTTAAATAAAGTTAAAGTATACTGGAAAACAGCATCTAGGGATCAGGCCTTGATCAAGTACTTCCCCGCAGACTAGCACCAAACATCTAACGCAGGAAGATATGGGCCATACGCCAGTAGGGATACGCTTGACTGGTACATAAAATGGGAGCACGCTTACCTCGAAATGGATACGCAATTTTTTCGTGAAAAGATATTTTGTGGGAATTTTCTTGTAGATAAATGATGCATAAACATAGAGGGGCGTGATATAGCGTGACAAATAATTTCAGATCACATGATCGAAGAATTTCTGAGTATAATTTGTAATGCCAATCATTTTCAGAAAAAAATATTCACCTGAAGTGAGCAAAACTTTATTAGTTTCAGTAAAAAAATGATAGAAATAGCGAATGATATATATGATGCTATCAAAGAGGGAGGGAGTATGTGAATCCTAGGCCATTTAATGTGAGTCCTAGCATCAAATTATTTCTTTGCTCTCTCAGATTTTAGAAAAATTTCTATAGCTAATTTGTTTTTATTGCTAATATTTCTAACTACAAGATTCTCATCCCTGTACTCTTTTTCTACACTAGATTTTCAAAATAAATTATTCCACCCATATTTCTATTTATATCTCTTCTAAACACACAGATTATGTAAAATAATATTCCTCGCAATGAAACTTCTCCAAAATTAAGTAATTTTGAATCTACAGCATAAACTCAGGAGATTAGAAACTGAGGTAAAAAAATATTTCTGATTCACACTTACCATTACTATTAATTTTCATAACATTTCTGCCTGAAATTTATTACTTAATGCATTACAATAAAGTTAATTCGATTTTTTTATTTCCAGTACGATATTGCGTCAAATATCAAGAATTTGACATATGAAGATGTTTATTATTGAAAATTTATTAGACACACTGCGTCAAATTTTATTGAGAAGCATGATGTTAAGGCATGTGACAAGATTTATGTAAATAGTTTCACTACACCTATTATACATATGATGATTGTCAAAGATTTTTTGACAAAGATCAAAATGCCGATATATAACAAGAAAAGTAATATGTCTATTTTATTTTAGAATATCTAATAGAAGCGAAAATTGATTAGCATTGTAATGACATGTTTCAAGAAGCTAATTGAGCAATAAAATCAACATACCTTATTATTGTTTTGCAAAATATACTCGTTTGATTGATTATTGATAATATTGTCGATGTTAATAATGGTTGGTTTAAAATTTTATTAGATTTTTCGTTTGATTTTTTGCTTATATTTGTACAAAACTAAAGATGGCGTTGCAACATTGTGACACTTATTTGTCACCTGTTGCAACTTAAATTTTAATAATATTGCAATTTGTTGCAACATTGTGATGCTTATTTGTCACCTGTTGTAACTAATTGAGGCGCTATCTTTATATAAGACAAATAAAAGGATTCACTAACTGTCTCAACATCTTTTTATATGATTTATAATGGGTTTAAGGTTCGATTTTTAGAATAAATCTTTGGAGAAATTATGTTATTATGATTCATTACGAAATCAGATCAACAGATACTCCTTAAAATTATAATAGACATAGGGATCGTGTTCCTGAATCAACAAGTATAACTTATTATTATTAATATATGTAAAAGTTTGAGTATATGCAAGAAGTTTCGAGAATAAATTATATAATGCAATATCCTAATGATATTACGCATTTATAGGATCTGGATTCTCAAATGAAAAACTGAGAAATATTAGCATATAAACAGAATTTTACACTAGATATTGACATGTAAATATATTGCACTTAATTTGTCTTAGCTTTATTGATTATAATTAAAAAATACATATTTTGTTTATACTACGAAATAATATCTTTTGCTATTGATCTGCTATCATATGGCTATAATTGTGAACTTGAATTTATTGTTTGAAGAGTTACAGCTAAGATAATATTCCAACTTATCTTGAAATAATAACTTTGCTAATTTAGAATCATATGGAAGTTGATTTTCATTTTTACAGTACTATAAGCCATGTAATTCATAATTCCCATGTTTTCCATCACAATAAGACATGGCGAGTTTCACAGCTGAGCAGATACAAAATTTTAATTATTAATCCTTTTGAAACTATTTCAGAATTTCAAGTATGTGAAATGCTTTAACATAAATTTGATAATTAACTCTGAATCAAGTTTGGCTTCAAAGGTGACAGGCACTTTTTCTTCATATTGCTTAGAAAAAGATAAATCAGATACTTTATTTTCTGATTTTAAATTAATGAGAAGATGACCTTTTAATAATTGCTATGGCTCATATCCAGTTTTTTTTTTATATTTTTTATATAAGCTGAACTGAATCTTATCCGTTAAAATGATTAGTAACCCAGTTAATTTGGTATGCCAATCTAGATACTCAGAGGTTAATACTTTATCAGACTTACTCATATTGCTTTTTTATATAATTGTCAATAAATTTAAATTATAGTAGGTAATAGCTGATATAAATTAATCCTATAAAAAAATATTATAATGAAACGTGAGCGAATAGATATTGTAAAATAATAACTATGCAGTTATTTCTATTTTGTGCTATTCACATTTAATAAAATAGGATCCAGCTTTACATTGACCTTCTATACTTTTCTCATCATCATGGTTTAACTTGCATAATGAACATAATGTCTTATTAGTAATTTCATAATAATCAAAATTTTCATTACTAAATTCTCTAAATAAGTAGAATATTGATTCAATATTTTATTATGAAAATAGATGCAGTTATAAGTTAGACTATTGAGTTGAGAAATAGGTAGTATTATCTCAACCTTGATATCAAATTTTTTTAGAGTAAATTTATTAGAAATTTAAGATTCAGTAAGCGTATCTGAATTGGTAATATGTGATAAATCAGAATTTTTTTATCACTTTGTGAACTCAGTTCACAAAATTGTATCTCTATATGAAAGCTATAATCAAAGAACATATTGTCTATAATATACTGGATATTTTCATATATCATTTTTGAGATAGAATCTATAGAAAAGAAATAAATTCAATTTATTTTATCCATACCTATTACATTAAAAAGTGTATAGAGCTTTTTGGCCTGTTTGATTCTTTTCCATAAAAATGCATCAAAGTATTTGCAGAAAGCTGAGCTTTAACTTCTATATTTAGAATTTTACTAACTGTATTAGACCTTAGATTAATTTATTTTTTAGATACGATCTTACCTTGCCTCTGAATAAAAGCTTTTTCAAATTAACAGTAATAAAAGATAGCTTTTAGGTCACATGATCAATAGGATTACAATATCTCAAAGTTTTTTATATAAAAAAGAAAAGATTAATATTTCCATTTCTACTGCTAAGAAATTATGGTTTTATATTATTTTCTTTAAACAAACATCCAAAGAATTTGAGCCTAGCTTATCTATAAAATTGAAATAATTAATGCTTGAATTTGATTTTCTTTGAGAAGATACTGAAGGTATAAAATCATTTAAAATCACTTTAGTGTTCACCCTCTCAAAAATTTCTTGGATGAATTTTTCTCTTTATTTTTCTGATTTTCCTTATAAAGCATCCTTTTGTTAACTAATATTTGCTTATCCTTTTCAGAGAAAACAGTTTTCATTTTCACAAGCTTCTCCTCTTACTTTTTTTGTCTAATTCTATCACTAACTCTTTTCTTATTTACCTCATTCAGAAAGAGTCTATGGTTTTTTCTTTGTTAACTTTGAATTAGCAGATATTGTTTCATTTACTACTATAAAGTCTAATATATCAGTAGGTTTTCAAGAAAGAAATCCTTTTATAAATATCTAAAATCTTTTTTCAACTTTGC